AATTTCATGTCATTAGCACCTCTAGTAATATATTTACTGAGAAAAATGGTGACGTGTTCAATACTTATTTTACCTGCTGCATATACATATTTTATCTCATACTGAGCAAATTTCCTACCAACCCCCACTCTTTGACATTTCTGCAATTTACACCATTTTCATAGCTGCCTTCAGTTTTACATATTCCTAAATGTTCTCCTGAAAGGATACACAGGAATGTATATCTTGGCAACTCTCACCGCCTCAGTCTCTTTTCTTAACACTAGTCAGAGCACCGCTGATCTGAAGCATTACTGACTGGGTTGTAGGAATCAAACACTGATAAGCTTCTTGTGTTTCTGCAACAGCGAGAGATCGGCCAGAGCCTGAGCCATTTGTCAAAGCCTGTCAGCAACAGAAAGCATTAAGAAACAGGCATCTGAAGGATCATTTAAAGGACTATTAAACTGAAAAATGACCAGATTTGTGCGTGCATGAGACAGAAACTAGAGTTTTTTTGTATGCAACTCAACTTTTGAAGACCTTGAGGAGTGCACACTTAAGATTCAAGCCTGAGTGAATCCAGACACAAAATACCATAAACAGACATTTACAAAGAAGCAAAGCAGAAATAAATGATTGTTTTAGTATGTAGACCAAGAATTAATCTAAGGGTGTCTCAATACCACTTTTTCTCAAATTGAGTACGAGTACTTCAGTTTGGATACTCGCGTGTACCGAGTACAGATACAGAGTACTTACTGAGTTATAATGTAAAATTACACAAAGACTTTTTTTTTATTCAAAACAAAGTGTCTCTTCTTTCAATTAGGCCCAGAGCTCCTCTGATTGTATGAAATCAAATATACAGCATGAAATATACCGTTGAAACATTTTAAAACAAGTAAACATTAATATGATTTTCTTTCAACTTGTTTGACTTTCTTAAACGTGGAACTAAAGAACTTTTCACTAGAAATAAAAACTGTAACACATTCAATGGAGAACTGATACTACTATCCCAATATCGATACAGGTATTTGTATCAGTTCCAAATATCAGATCATTTTGAGTGAGTATTACTTGTTAGAATGCTGATGCCTGGCCAGATACCGATACCAGCAATGAAAACAAGTGTATCTGCATAGTAGTGTCCTAATACCAGCATCAGTACATTACAAATGAAACCTCAATAAATTCAGTTTTTAAACATTTACAGTACTTTACATCTTTGTACACTTCTAAAATAGATTCATAATGATATAGTTCCTGACAGTTCTTGTTTGTAATATAAGTAGAATAAGTTCAATTTTCCGAGTAAAAAACATACAACATTTTAAATTAATTACTTTTCTGAATTTAAACTGGACGGTTAACTTCAACACCACATGTCAAACTCATGGCCCAGCACATTTGATGTGGTCTGCGAGAGCTTCAAAGATGTATTTTTGTCTTAAAATAAGCATATGCTGCTGTAGAACCAGCGTTGACCATAAAACCCATCTCCCATAATGCATGTGGATTATTTTACCAGCAACATGACGGCATCCTTACTGTGTTTTTGCCAGCCACTTTTGCTGCAGCCCAGTTGTACTGGGAAGTGGGAATTTCCCCACTTTCAAGTCATGCATTTAAACTAAGTGGGAGAGTTCAGAGTTGTACTTTATCATTTATTTCACATTTAGTCAGTCATACACATAGTATTTTTCAGTGTTTATAAGAGGACGTGTTAAAACGCTGTTTCCATGCAGGAAATACCACATAGAGCTCATTTATTGTTTAACAGTGCTCAGCTGTAGCAATGAGATGAGGAACATTTAGTCAAAACCAGACATGAAACATTGAAGTTAATTACAGCTGAACCTTTGAGAGCCACCATAATGCTCTTGTGGCCCTCAGTAAAAAATATGTTTGACACCCCTGTTCTACACCGTCTACAGTTTTACATTTTTATTTTGAATAGTTTAACAAATTAAAAAAGTGTTTGGTTTTATCTGAATGTCAGCCAGGTGTCATGATTATCATCATCACATTGTTTCAGATCCAATGAACCCTGTGACCAGAATCCCAGAGGATCTACGGTTCCTCATTCAAAATTCCAGACAACAACCAGAGGAAGTAAAAACATGTGCATTATGTCACCACACAGAGCATCTATATTATGCACTGTACGGAAGCCCTGATGGTTTACTGTGATATTACACAATTAAAAGTTGTTTTATGGCTTCCTGCAGACACACTGGCCTGTGAAAGAAGGGACAGGATGCTGTCAACTTCAACGCTAACTAAAGCACGCTACTACAGCTCTGCTCAAAGAAACTGCTTTGGTGAGGGAAAGAAGGCAGGCACAAAGTCTGTTTAGATAAGGGGACAAATGTGAGGGTGGGAGGTGGTGGTGCGG